GCCCTCAGCACTGCCCTCAGCACTGCCTGTACCTCCTGCCCTCAGCCCTGCCCTCAGCCCTGCCTTTACCTCCTGCCCACAGCCCTGCCCTCAGCCCTTCCTGCAAACCCTGCCCACAGCCCTGCCCGGAAACCCCGCTTATACCTTCTGCCCAGAGCCCCTGCCCTCAGCCTCGCCCGCAAACCCTGCCCGGAAATCCTGCCTGTACCTCCTGCCCACATCCCTGCCTGCAAACCCTGCCGCCCCTGCCTGCGCCCCTGCCTCCAGCCACTGCCCTCAAACCCTGCCCGCACCTCCTGCCCGCACCCCCTGCTGACACCCCCTTCCTGCACCCCCTGCCCTCACCCCCTGCCTGCAGTCCCTGCCCGCCCCTGCCTTCCCTGGAACCTGCAGAACAGGCATCTCAACGCAGCCCTGCCCTTGGGGCTGCGCTTGGCCTCTGGGGCACCCCGAAAGCAGGGTTTGGGGGGACAGGCAGCCTGCAGCTCATCTCAGCGCTGTAAATCCACAGCTCAGCCTCTGTCAGAAGCTCTGTAGCAAAGGGCAAAGTCAGACCGGGCGTTCCCTCACCCTGATCTTCCTTTTCCTGCCCGTGAAGCCTCTCACTGGTGTTTCCTGAGTTTCAGCTTCCCAGCAGCGTTGGATTTGCCCCCTCTGAGCCAGACAGTGGATTTTGACGCTCAAAGTCAAGCTAGAAGTTGCTCCTGACTTTAACCAAACTGGACTTGGGAGCAGCAGTCAAAAAGTAGCTATTTAAGACTATGCATCTGCGTGGATGTGGTGCTGAGGGACCTGTGTTAGTGGTGGACCTGGCAGTGCTGAGTTAATGGTTGGACTTGATGATCTTAGAGATCTTTTCCCACCAAAACTATTCCATGATTCTTTAAAATCTCCTGGGACCCTGAAGATGCCTAAAGCCTTCCCTTCAACCCAGGGGCAGCTCAGCAGAGCAGAACAGAAAAGAAAAGCACCAGTGTACCCAAGTGGTGGAGAAGGCCACCAGCATCCTGGCCTGGATCAGCACTGGTGTGGCCAGCAGGAGCAGGGCAGGATTGTCCCCCTGGGCTGGGCACTGGGGAGGCTGCACCTCAAATCCTGGGGGCAGTTTTGGGTCCCTCACTCCCAGCAGGACCTTGAGGGGCTGGAGTGTGGCCAGAGAAGGGCAACGGAGCTGCTGGGGAAGGGTCTAGAGAACAAGTGTGGGGAGGAGCAGCTGAGGGAGCTGGGGGGGCTGAGCCTGGAGCAAAGGAGGCTCAGGGGAGACCTTCTGGCTCTGCACAGCTCCTGACAGGAGCCTGGAGCCCGGGGGGGGTCGGGCTCTGATCCCAAGAAACAAGGGACAGGGCAAGAGGAAATGGCCTCAAGTAGCCCCAGGGGAGGTTTCAGTTGCTCCTGAGGAACACATGTCTCTCTAAATGTGCTCCTCATTACCTGTAATTGGGTTACTTTAATTGCCGAGGCCATTAGGGCTCTGCAAGGAAAAAGAAAAATAAAATTATGCAATTACCAGCTCCCAAATTGAGTTAAAATCAGCAAATAAATGACGTCGGAGGCTCCTGTCCCCTGTGGCTCTCAGAGCCACATTTAATTCCCTGCAGCTCGGCACAAAATGTGCTGTGGGGAGAAACTGAAGCCCCCAAATCGCTATCGTTTGGTCTGGTGGAAGTGCTTCAGCCCCGTGTCCCTGGGTGCAGGGTGGGTGTGGAGCTGGGGCCATCACTGCTGGGCCATTTTTGGGAGGTTTATAAAGCTCAGCTGAGGTTGGGGCCTTGGTCAATGTGTTCCTCGTGGCTCTGTTTGGTGTGAGAGGAGGGAAACAAGCTGGAGGGTGACTGCTCACCAACAGTGGTGCTCTAGAACCTCTCCACTAGGAGAGGTCCTCATCAGACAGGGCTTTGGCAGTGAAGGGTTGTGCCAGGAAGCTGTCCCCAAAACTTCCCCCTGGCAGTGGCACATCTCTGCTGGGCTCCAGCTCTGCTTGCACGATAAGCTCCTTACTCTGGTACCACGTGCAAGGTTTCACCACTGGGCTTGTCCCTGTGCCTGCTGGCTCTGGCCAAGTCCACCCCAGTAGATGTTTGTGCTCTCACAGGGGATGAGGATCCTGCAGCGTCCAAGTAGCATGTGGTTTATCCAGCACTCCTGGAGAAAGCAGATTTCAACACCAAAGCCTCAGCCCTGGGAGCCTCTCAGCGTGGAGACCAAGCAGGTCCAAACCTGCCTGGGGGAGCTGGGGAAGGTGGACATCATCTCAATATCCATGTCAGGCATCAGTGTGAACCTCATGAGGTTCAACAAGGCCAAGTGCAAGGTTCTGGACCCTTCAGCATTTGAGGTGAGGTTGAACAGGGCTCCGAGCAACTTGTTCTAGTTGCAGGTGTCCCATCCCTGCAGTCAGCAGGACTAGATGACCTTGGAAGGGCCCTTCCCACCCAGACCATTCTCTGACTCTAAAAATAAATCAGAGACAAGTTGCTTGTTTGGGAGAAGATGGAGTGGAGAAAAGGGAAGGATCCAAGTGGTTGGGGAAAGGCGTGCATGGAAAAATGGAGAGGAGAAGGGCAGAAGGACCCCGTTGTCCGTGTGCTTGTCTGGGTGACCCTGATGTGGCACATCCCAGAAGAACCTACCACAGAACAGTCTGACCTGAGCCACGCAGGAGCAGGAGGGTGCTGGGTCCCTGTGGCAGGAGGCACTGCAGGTCTTGTGGGTGTTGAGTAGCACAGCCCAGCTCTGGCTGTCGATGTAGAGGGAAATGTCCTCGGCTACCTTGTGGAGATAACTCCTCTGGTGCCATCCTCCACAGAATGACACCACCAAAGGCAAAACAAAACCAGAGAGCTCTCATTTCCTGCTTGTCCTCTGACACGCCTGAGGGAGGTTGCGTGATTCAAGCCTCTGCCAGGATGGGACAAGGAGAAGCAGCTCCTGTAAGTGCATTTTCTGCCTCTTGTTTGTGGGCAAAACTGCACGGGAAGCACGGAGAGACTTTTTCTTCTCCTCGAAAGCCTCCCAGCTCGTAGGCAGCTCTCTGCTGTGAGCTACGGCGTGGGGACGTGTCAGTGCCAGTGAGATACAGCGAGGGGAAGACGTGGCAGAGGGAGGAAAGGTGCCTTGGGGGGCTGGAAGAAATCCAGGAGGGGAAATGTTGGCGGTGGGTTGTCCCGATGTGGGCGTGGGGGCTGCGTGGGGGGGGGAAGGTGCTCGGGAGTCTTGCCGGGCGTTGCTGCCGTCGGACGTGGGGGCAGCTTTGGTTTCCTCCCAAAGGCAGACAGTCAGAGCTGCATGTGGCTGAGGCTTTCCTCCTGGAACGGGGTGAAAGCAAACCAGGGAAACACTCCAAGTCAGAAATACAATTTAATAGGAAAAAAAAAAGAAGAAAAAAGGAATGCAAAGGTACAAAGAAAGACTCACAGACAGTCAGAATACAACCTGACACCCTGCAGATAGGGTGGTGGCAGCAGTCCAGGTGAAGCAGTGGTCTTGTAGAAAAGATCTGGCAGCTCTTGTCCTCTGGAAATCCAGAGGCCTCCTGTGCTGTTTAAAAGCCTCCTGTGCTGTTTATACCCAGGTGGGAGCTCTTGCCTCCTCCCCCTGGGTGGAGCATCTCACAATGGATTGATATCATTCTGTGAGTCATGCAGTGGGTCCTGGATGGTCCATGAAACACAAATAGCTCCTGGGGGGAGCTCTGTATGAGGCATGGGGCATGGCATGGATGGGCCCATTAACAGGGAGGACTCCTCCTGATGGATGTGAAGGTGTTAGCATCTCCCCACATCTCTCTCCTTATCTGTTATAGCCTGGGCTGTGAGGTCTGTCCTGGGCAGCTGCTACCCATGATTTGTTAGCCCCTGAGCACTGACACAGAGGGTATAGAATACACAGTTTTTGGTTCTACCCACAGAATGATAAACTGGTCCCAGCCCCTGTAACTAGGACACCTCCAAAATATGAAACAGGAGAAAAAAAGCTCATTCCCAGAAAACTTTTTCTGGGACTGTCTTGTGGCAGATCTCTGCTCTCCATGGCTGCTCTCTCTGAAGTTCTCTGCAGCACCACAAAGCAACGAGAAAACATTTCAATCCAGCCTGAACCAAATTTTCTTTTCTTTTCAGCTGCCTGAACTTGCCTGGAGTGGGTCTTTCAGCAGTTTTAGGCATGGGACTGCAACAGGTATGTCCCCAAACGGCTGCACACCCACTGGCATCATCAGAACCCTGCTCCAAACCTTGGGAGCTTTGCTTAACCCCCTTGGGGTGGAGGAGCTCCCCTTGCCTGGGCTGTTGGTAGGGGAAGGATCCTTAGAAGCTGCAGAGCCACCAGGGGCTACGTCCTCCTGGGGATTCATAGCACAGCTGGGAACCAACATATTTTTCAGCACTCGGTGGCTGCAGGACTCTTGGGCAATGGGAGAAACAGGTCCTGGAGGAGAGCACTGCAGGGGAACTCCACAGCCACGCCTGTTTTGGAGCTGATGGAAAAATGGTGTGCTTTAGGGTTTTTGCAGTATTTTTTCCCTCTGACAGCTCTGGTTTGCTCTTCAGTGACAGTGCTGGGGTGACTTTTTGAAGATGAAGCCTTTGTAGTATTCTCTTCTTGTGTAGGGAACTGGTTTAGTTTTCTTTTTTTTTTTTTTCCCTGAAAATCAGACTCCAGAAGTAGGAAACTTGCCAAATCAGTCACCATTTCCTGAAATTGAGGCTGCAGCTGTCTGGATGCTGATGGCAGTTTTCACTCCTGGGGAGTGGTCAGCCACAGAGCCCTCTCCTTCCTCCATCTGCAGTTTCACCCCACGCCTCCTCTCATGCAAAATCAACTCCACCAACTCTCTTCCAGCTAAATCTCTACCACTAACCTTGATTAAAGACTTGATTCTGGTGCTTACGTGTCCTTACCTTGGATGAGGCTTTCAGCAACGTGGTCTAGTGGGAGGTGTCCCTGCCTATGGCAGGAGAGGTTGGAAACAGGTTATCTTGAAGGTCCTTTCCAACCCAAACCATTCTGTGATTCCAGGATTCTGTATTTTCCACTTGCTGATAGCTTTTACAAGCATCCATGGCCTGGTGTCCTAGAGTTGACACCAAGAGTAGTCAGCATCCCACCAGGACCACTGACACATTCAGCATTTCACCTCTGGAAGCAGCCCCACCAACATGAAGATGCTGGTGGCAGGTTCTGCTTCACTGAGACTTGAGGTGCCACTTTCTCAGTCACAACCCTGGGTGAATCTAAAGCAGCTCACAGCATGGTGGGCTGGTGAGTTTTCTGTCATTTAGAGCAGAAATCTCCTCAGAAGCTCACAGTGCTGTCAGGAGGAAGTGGGGAGTTGCCAGAGGAGACCATGCTCGTTTAAGGTCAAGTTTTAACGTGCTGGAGTAAGGAAACCAGAATGATTTTGGTTATATGTGTGTGTAGAAAGCTGTCCCCATGCTGTAGGCAAAGGAGTGCAGGACACAAAATACCAGAAGGTGGCAAAAATTTAAGCCTGGGAACTAGAAGAAAACCCTCTGTGATGTGGTTTGTCTTTCCCGTGTGGACTGGAAGAACATTTTGATCCCCTTCACTTGTCTTTTGCTCTTAGGTGGCCAGTTGGCAAACACAAGTTCAAAGGTGGCAACAGCAACTGCTTCCACCTTGCTGGATACTCTCAGTTTGAGCAACTACCCTTATGAGTACTTGGATGAGGAGGACTTTGTGGAGTACAGCCCCTGCACAAAGGAGGAGGTGCTCTCCTTTGGCAGAGTATTCTTGCCATCTTTCTACACCCTGGTCTTCCTGCTCGGGTTGGCTGGGAATGTCCTCCTGTTTATTGCCCTCGTTATGGACATCAAGAAGAAAAAGAAGATGACCGAGATGTATCTGCTGAACCTGGTGGTTTCAGACTTCTTCTTGCTCCTGACCCTTCCTTTCTGGGCTCTGTACATTTCTCAGGGGGTCCCCTGGGGCATTTTGTGCCCAGTCTTAAATGTCGTGTACACCGTGAATTTCTACAGTGGGATCTTTTTTGTGAGCTGCATGAGCCTGGACATGTACCTGCAGACAGTTCATGCCTGCTCTCCTCACAGCCCCACGACACAGAGAAAGCCCATCATCATCCTTTCAGTTGTCTGGGGCCTTTCCATACTCCTCTCCATTCCCGACGGCCTCTTCACCAGCACAAGGCAAATCCACAACCAAACCATCATATGCACTCACGATTACGGCCAGAAACACTTATTTTGGGAAGTTGTCTTTCGGGTCATCCAAAACCTCCTGGGTTTCCTTTTCCCCTTCCTGTTCATGACGTTCTGCTACTCCCGCGTAGCGTGTGCCCTCACCACATCCCAGCTGCCTGGCTCGAGGAGAGCACGCTGCTTAGTCTTTACTCTGGCGTGTGTCTTCTTTGTCCTCTGGTGCCCTTACAACGTCGTCCTCGTCCTCCACTCCCTGCAAGACGTGGGTTTGATCCAGAGCTGTGAAAGCAGCAGACGACTGGACTACGCCACGCAGATCACGGAGAGCTTGTCCTTTGCCCACTGCTCTCTCAACCCTTTGCTCTGTGCTCTCATGAAAAAACGGCTCAGGTGGTATTTACAGAAGATCCCTCAGGCCGTTTTTAGGAGAAGCACTTTCTTTGTCAGCCAGCCCCCACACACCAGCCAGTCTTGCAGCAGAGATGCAGCCGAGATAGAAATGTCGGGTATGACATATGCCTAAGAAATAGTCTCACTATTTACACAGGGGATTTATTCCTGTTGTAACTGGAATTATTCTAAAAGGACTGACCCGGATTTGTGCTCGTGGAAGGAGCCCAGCTCCTCTCTGGAGGCTGTGAGTCGTTAGGGGATGAAGGAGCAGCTTGTCTAGATGTCATGCCTTTAGAAGTGCAAACTGAAACTCGTGCAGAACTTCTGCCCCAAAGGGTCTGGTGGAGGAGACTGATCCCATTATTGTGGGTCCAGAAAAGGGCAACCAAGCTGGTGAAGGGTCTGGGGAACATGGGTTATGAGGAGTGGCTGAGGGAACTGGGGTTGCTTAGTCTGGAGAAGAGGAGGCTGAGGAGAGACCTTGCTTTCTACAGCCCCCTGAAAGGAAGTTGGAATGTGGTGGGGATTGGTCTCTTCTCCCAGGTAATGAGTGATAGGATGAGAGGAGATGGGCTGAAGTTGCCCCAGGGGAGGTTTCAGTTGGATATGAGGCAGAATTTCTTTCCTGACAGAGTGATGAGGAATTGGCCTAAGCTGCCCAAGGAGGTGCTGGAGTCCCCAGCCCTGGAGGGGTTCAAAAAACATGTGGATGTGGTACTTTGGGACATGGTTTAGTGGTCATGGGAGTGTTGGGCGATGGCTGGACTTGATGATCTTAGAGGTCTTTTCCAAACTTAGTGATTCTATGATTCTATGATGCTGTGGTTTGAGGCTTGGAATGGGGGCGTGACCTTCCAGCACCTGGGAGGACCCCGAGTGGGGGTGAAACCATTGTAGTCCCTCCCCTTCCCACACACACTCTGATAAGAGGCAGGAAGTGGGCTCCACTCCTGCCCTGCAGCTCGGAGGTGGAGGGTCTGCTTTCGCTCCATGGGACCTTGGAACTATTTCTGAGGGTTTGGTATGTTTTGCTTATTTTTGTATTTCCCCTAATCTTTGTATATATTTTTATTTTTTTTCTTACCTCCCTTTTTCATTTTCTGTTCCTTGTTAAACAATATACTTCATTTTTTTTTTTCAAAGTCTCTCTCTCTGTCTCTAGGGGGATGGGGGGAAGGAGAGTCCATAGTTCTGTTCCATGTGGGTCCTGCCCTGAACCCCTTTTTACAGGGAACCAGGACATAGGATTATCCCTTCTGCCTGTGCTGTGGGCTGGGAAATGGATTTGCAGCTCGTATCTGTCCTGCCAGACATGGGGGGTTAGAAACCCAGCCTGGGGTTGGCTTTGCTCCTCCTGGCTTTGGCCCTTGCCAGTAGATGTGTTCAGTTGGGCTCATCCTTTTGTCTACAGGAGAGACAGCGGGAGGAATTTAGACACCTTTAAACTGGGCTGACTGACCTATGGTTGGTTCCCCTGTTACAATAGCTGTGCCATGTTGGGGTCTACTGAGCAAGAAACTCTTCCTGAGGGACAGATCCTTGATTAGAGACCTGTGCAATCATCAGCTGATTAGTGAACTGTTCAGAGAAACAAAGAATTGTGTCAGTTGGAAGAGACCTTGAAGATCATCAAGTCCAACCCTTCCCCATCCCTGCCAGGTCCCCAGTGCCCCATGTCCCTCACCCCACATCTCCACGGCTTGGAAACCCCTCCAGGGGTGGGGACTCCACCACTGCCCTGGGCAGCCTGGCACAGCCCTGGGCAACCCTCCAGGGCAAGAAGTTGTTCCTCAGCTCCAACCTCAACCTCCCCTGGGGCAACTTGAGGCCATTTCCTCTTGTCTTGTTCCCTGGGAGCAGAGCCCGACCTCCCCCTGGCGCCAGGCTCCTGTCAGGAGCTGTGCAACGCCAGAAGGTCTCCCCTGAGCCTCCTTTGCTCCAGGCTCAGCACCCCCAGCTCCCTCAGCTGCTCCTCCCCCCACTTGGGCTCTAGACCCTTCCCCAGCAGCTCCGTTGCCCTTCTCTGGCCATGCTCCAGCCCCTCAAGATCCTTCTGGGTGTGAGGAGCCCCAAAACTGAACCTGGGATTCAAGGTGCAGCCTCCCCAGTGCCCAGCCCAGGGGGACAATCCTGCCCTGCTCCTGCTGGCCACACCAGTCTGACCCAAGCCAGGATGCTGGTGGCCTTTTTGGCCACCTGAGCACACTACTGTTCAATCAGCAACAAAGTTCAGTTCCAGCCTGGAAACCTATTGACCATGGCAGCTGCCCAGAATTGTACAAGAGAAGTTAATAATTCAAGAGAAAAGACCCATTACCTTAATTTTACTGCTAGATAAGTTTGCTGGACTGAGAAGAGCTTGGAGCTGATCTGGAAAGGTGGATTTGTTTTCACTGCTGTTACTTTTCTTGCCAGCGTTGCTACAGCACATTTCCCAAAGGGTCAGGCTGAGACCTTCCCTTAAAAAAAACCTAAAAAGCCAGAATAAATATTTAGCTAATGCTGTGAACCCTTCACTCCACGGGTCGGGTCACACTGGGAAGGAACGTGGAAGGGGAGAGCAGCTGGGAAGGAAAAACCAGGACCGAGCTTGTGGTCCCATGCAGAGGAGGACTCGTGGGACTGCAGAACTTGGGATGGGATGCTCAGGGGAAGGGAAGGTGGGGGAGTGGAGGGGGGTGTAAAGGGGGCTGGCTGTGTGTGAGCAGCGTGCCCTGTCGCTGTGTTAAACTTTTCTTCTTAACTCTTTTGCCACAAAACGTCACTCTCTGTCCTACATGGGGCTGCTGCGAGGTCCAGGTGCCAGCAGCTGGGGCAGTGACTGGCTGACTAGATCAGAATCAGCAAATCCCAGGGTGGTTTGGGGTGGGAGGGACCTTCAAAGGTCAGCCAGTCCAACCCCCCTGCAGGGAGCAGGGACATCTGCAGCTAGAGCAGGGTGCTCAGAGCCCAAACCAACCTCCCCTGGGATGGTTCCAGGGGTGGGGCAGCGGCCACCTCTCTGGGCAGCCATCACAATCCCAACCGTGCCCCCAGCACTGCCAAGCCCACCACTGACCCATGTCCCTCAGCACCACATCTCCACGGCTTGGGAACCCCTCCAGGGGTGGGGACTCCACCACTGCCCTGGGCAGCCTGGCACAGCCCTGGGCAACCCTCCAGGGCAAGAAATTGTTCCTCAGGGACAACTGAAACCTCCCCTGGGGCAATTTGAGGCTGTTTCCTCTTGTCCTATTGCTTTTTCCTTGGGAGCAGAGCCCGACCCCCACCTGCCTCCAACCTCCTGTCAGGGAGTTGTTGAGACTGTTGTTCAGTCATTTCCAAACTTACCTGATGCAAATTCAAGTGGTTCAAGCTCTCCCCCCTGGTGGGGACCCAGACCTGCTTTGCTTTGCCCTCGTAGGGGTCAGCAGTGCTCACACTGCTCATTGGCAGAGCACTCCTGGGGCACTGTGCTTTGGAGGACATCAGCATGCTGGGGAGCTTTCCTTCTCTCAGCTCACATGTCCTTCCCTTGCTCTGGAGCTCGTTTCCAGTAGCATTTCCACCATCTGATCTTCCTTTCCATTTCTCAGCCTGCAGCAGGTGTCCAGATCCTGGTTTGAGAGGCAGAAATCACCGAGTGAAGTCCTCTGAACACTCTGTGCATTGGAAACTGGGCTCCACGCAGCCTAGAAATTTGAATTTGCTTAAGCTGCTGCAGAGCACATACCAAAACCTTTCCACCTTAGCCTGCAGCCCGGTGACTCCAGCTTGATTACAACATCCCTTCCACCTTAAAAATCTCTGTCCATCAGGGAGCAGGACACGCTGATGGCTCCACAGGGGAAAGACAAACACACGCTGCCAATGGGGACAGAGGCTGCCGGCTCTGCATCTGCATATCAGCCTCTGGATGGGAATAAAAAGCACGTTCCTGCCCCAGCCTAGCTCTAGCCCCAGGTCCCACAGAGCTCTCATGGCTCTCGGGGTGGTTCTCCTCTGTACCTTGGTAGCATCCCTGCTCGGTGGGCTCTACCTCCTGGGCGCCTTCCGGAGACGCAGACCCGACGAGCCACCTCTGGACAAAGGTGCCATTCCCTGGCTGGGTTATGCTCTGGAGTTCAGAAAGGACAGCTCAGCGTTCCTGGAAAGGATGCAGGGAAAACACGGGGATGTTTTCACCGTGCTGCTCGGAGGCTACTACTTCACCTTCGTGCTGGACCCCTTCTGCTTCGGAGCCATCGTGAAGGAGTCGCGATCTAAACTGGACTTCAAGACTTTTGCAGTTAAGCTGGTGCTGAATGTTTTTGGCTACAAGCCCATCGAAGCCAACCATAGCATCGTCCATGAGGCGAGCGTGAAGCACCTGATGGGGGATGGACTCACTGTCATGACACAAGCCACCATGGAGAACTTTCGGAAGCTGATGTTCTTCAATCTGAGCTCAAGAGAGGAGAAACGAGGGTGGCAAGAGGATGGCCTCTTCCACTACTGCTACAACATTGTCTTCAGAGCTGGGTACCTGGCTCTGTACGGCACCGAGCCACATCGTGGGGCAGAGGATGAGGAGAAAGCTGACGAGCAGGATCGCATCCACTCCAACCAGCTGTTCCACGAGTTTCGGAAGTACGACCGCCTCTTCCCTCGGCTAGCCTGTGCTTTGTTGCCTCCAAAGGACAAAATGGAAGCTGAACGGCTGAAGAAGCTCTTCTGGAGGATGCTGTCTGTGAAGAAGAGCTGGCAGAAGGACAACGTCAGTGGGTGGTTAAGTGATCAAGACAAGCTGCTGGCTGAAAACGGCGTCCCCGAGTACATGAGGGATCGTTTCATGTTTATGCTCCTCTGGGCATCCCAAGGCAATACGGGTCCAACTGCCTTCTGGCTCCTCTTGTATCTAATGAAACATCCAGAAGCCATGAAGGCTGTGAAGGATGAGGTAGACAAAGTCTTAAGGGAGAACGGCAAGGAAGCAAAGCCAGGGAGCCCCCCCGTTAACATCACCAGGGAGATGTTAAACCAGACTCCTCTCCTGGACAGCGCTCTGGAGGAGACCCTGCGGCTGGTCGCAGCCCCCATGCTGGTCAGAGCTGTCCTCCAGGACTTCAGCCTGAAGACGAGCAGCGGGGCAGAGTACACCCTCCGCAGAGGAGACAGGGTGGCTCTCTTCCCACACCTCTCAGTGCAGATGAACCCAGAAATTCACCCCGAGCCTCACCGATTCAAGTACGACCGCTTCCTAAACCCCGACGGCACCAAGAAAGGCTTCTACAAAAACGGCAAGAAGCTGAAATACATCAACATGCCTTGGGGGGCTGGAGTATCCACCTGTCCCGGGAGGTTCTTTGCCACCGTTGAAATGAAATTGTTTGTGTTCTTGATGCTGAGTCACTACGACCTGGAGCTGGTGGATGGGGGAGAGGAGATCCCGGCGGTCGACGTCAGCCGCTGGGGCTTCGGGACCATGCAGCCCGTCCGGGACGTGCGGTTCAGATACCGGCTACGCCTGTAGTCTGGGAGGTCCTTGTGGTGGTTGTCCTGGTGTGAGCTGGGAAATAAATCGTGGGATCCTGTGGTTATCAGATCTGTGCAGCGCCAACCCCGATGGGATCTCGTTTGCTTAATGGTATCGTGGTTTCTCTCTGTACACCCTCCAGAGGAGTCGCTGCTCTGCGCTGCAGCGTTGGGCTGTGTGATAAAATCTCACCTGCACACCCACGAAGGACCACAGAGAGACAAAGGACCCTGCCAGGCTGCTCCCAGCCCCATCACGGGGGCTGTCAGCATGTCAAAAGCCCCTCTGCAGAAGCTCAGAGGAGCACAGGGGCGTGTTGGCAGGTGGGAACCCAACTTAAGGAACCCGTGTTCTGTCCAGGTCCCTCTCAGGACTGTCTCAGCAGAGCCATCAGCCCCACGGTCCCAGCGTGAGCCCCGTGGAGATGTGTCATTGAGAGCAGCTCTCGGGATCATCGTCTGGTGTAAGGGGGGTTGCTGTCAGTGGAGGGGGTGTGCAGGGGAAGAGCATTTTGGGATTGCACAGGACTTAGGGTGGGATGTCAAGGGGAGGAACCAAAGGTGGGGAAAAGGAGGGATTTGGGTGATTTGGGGAGGAAAAGAGAGGGCAAGGGGATCAAAAGAGCTGTTGACTGTAAACAGGCAGCTGGTCCACGCAATTGTTTGACCCTTAAAAGCCAGAGAACAGCAAGGATCCTCTCCAGAGATGTAAGAACTCCCCTGGAGTTTTCAAGCTATCTGGTCTGTAGTCCCCTTCTCATATCCCCAAAGAGATCTCCTGAGCAAGGATGTACCAGCAGCTCCTTCCCCTTCCATGTTTTAGACAAGGACAGATCTTGCCCATGTCATTTACCACCTCATTGGGAGGAGAAGGGGGTTGGCAACCTGTGGGACCATCTTCGTGTCTCTCTGTGTGTTAGGGATGCTCGTGGCCTTTCCAGGGCTGCTGGAGGCTGTGTTCAAGTCCTGGGGCTTCTGTGAAGCTCCTACAGATAAAAAACCCTGTCTCTGTGTGAGCTCCTAGTGCCTTGAGGGTCCTCCACCCTCTCTTTGAAGTGTTCCCAGAAGATGCCTATTGGAAAGTAACACACACCCCCCTCTGTGTATTAAAATTTGCTCTACAAGCTTTGCTTTGCTTTTTTTTCTCCCCCTTTAATAATTTCCTTACCCCTGCAGAGGACAGTGGATCGATTTTAACGCTGACCTCGGACTTTGGAGATTCTGTATGAGGGAGGAATGAAACTCAAACAGTTTTCACGTGTCTCCACCCCTCAGAGCCAGGCTCTGCAAAGAACAGGGTTATGTTGTAACCTCACAGCGAGGGCAAACTGTCCTGTGTGGCCAGGCTGGGCTTCAGCTCAGACCTCGTAGTGCTGGAAATTCAGCCAGAAACTACCAAGCAGCTGTGGCAGAGCTGAGGAGAACAAAATCTTCTTCTCACCTCATCACCTTCTCACCACTTCCCACGCTCCCTCTATGGCTCTCACCTCTTTTTGGTCACCCGTGGTTCATTTCTTTGTCCTGCTACCAAGAAAAAGCTGGAGTTATTCCCATGTTCCAGCCAATGGTTTGATCTTCACAAGCTCCAAACCATGTCCAGGGATGCTTTGGGATAGCTGGGCAAGTCAGAACCATCCTGGTGACCTCCAGCCTAAGTGATGTCCTCACTCCGAGGCTCCTACAAGAGGATTTTTGGTGTGGATGATTTGAAGGGAGATTGTTCCCTGCTCTGATGTTCACTGTGGGTGGTTACCACTCGTAGGGACCCCAGGTCAGAGTTGAGGGGTGAAGGGCGTGTGCTGCACAAACACGGACCGAGCACAGGAAAGGGATGGAAAGATAAAGACAATGACAATGACTCAGGAGAAAAATCTGCCTTTACTTCCTTGTCAGAATGGTTTATTTAACCAAACAGTAGTGAGTCTATAAAAGACTTCAGACATGCTCAAATGCATGCAGTCATGAGAAGCAAAAAATAAAACCCAATAAAAATAAACCACTTCATCTGGGTCATACATGGAAGAGTGTGAGAGCTCCAAACGAGTTGATCTGCAGTTAATTTTTATGCTTAGGTGGATTGTCCCCTGGCACTGAGTGTACAACCCAAGGAGTGTAAGGAAAACAGGAGGAACTCAGTGAGGTTGAGAAGAAACCAATAGCTACATCATTCCCTTCAGAGAAACTCAAAGGAGCACGGAGGCTGTGGGTACAAAGCAATGACACAGGTGACACTGCCCGCTGCAAAGGAAGGCAGATTTTGGAGGAGAAAGATGACCATGAAAGTTCAGGGTGGTTTTTTTGAAAGGATGAAGCCACACAGAGTTTGCCAGTGCTGCTGCTGCCACATCTCCTGGTAGGGGTGTGTGCACTCACCAGACAAGGGCAGCACAGCTTCAAAGTGGCAGATTGTCTCAGTGGGACACAGGTGACACTGCCCGCTGCAAAGGAAGGCAGATTTTGGAGGAGAAAGATGACCATGAAAGTTCAGGGTGGTTTTTTTGAAAGGATGAAGCCACACAGAGTTTGCCAGTGCTGCTGCTGCCACATCTCCTGGTAGGGGTGTGTGCACTCACCAGACAAGGGCAGCACAGCTTCAAAGTGGCAGATTGTCTCAGTGGTACAACATCTACATCATCTACATCATCTACAACATCTACAACATCTACAACATCTACAACATCTACATCATCTACATCATCTACATCATCTACAACATCTACAACATCTACAACATCTACAACATCTACATCATCTACATCATCTACAACATCTACAACATCTACATCATCTACATCATCTACATCATCTACATCATCTACATCATCTACATCATCTACATCATCTACATCATCTACATCATCTACATCATCTACATCATCTACATCATCTACATCATCTACATCATCTACATCATCTACATCATCTACATCATCTACATCATCTACATCATCTACATCATCTACATCATCTACATCATCTACATCATCTACATCATCTACATCATCTACATCATCTACATCATCTACATCATCTACATCATCTACATCATCTACATCATCTACATCATCTACATCATCTACATCATCTACATCATCTACATCATCTACATCATCTACATCATCTACATCATCTACATCATCTACATCATCTACATCATCTACATCATCTACATCATCTACATCGTTCCCTGCCACAAGTGGCAGTAGATGCAGAAAAGCCCCGTGGCAGGCAGGACGCTCATGGTGAAGCCAGGCAGAACTGGGGGGGCATTTTTGGTGGGGAGCAAAGTGAGGCTGTGATGAAGCCCTCACACCACCTCCTGATGGCCAGGGTGTGCTCAGAAGAGCCAGGGTTAGCCCTGCTCCTGGGGGAAGCCACATGACCAGGGGTTCCCTGTGCCAGCAGACTGGCCATAGGGAGCATCTTTCCCAGAAATACCCATGGAGCAGGTCACAGCATGGTTTCCTCAAGAGATGGTTCTCTATGCTTGCTCCTTAACATGATTTTAAGATAACTGATGCAGTCAGGGGTTACTGTAAGGTCCTGTGTGGATGCTAGCAGAGTGCCACCACTCCAGCCTCGTGTCTGGCACTTGGCAAGGCCATAAGATCCCAGGTCAGCCTGGGAGGGAGCTTCATGTCCAGAACAAGCTTCTCCTCAAAAAAAAGCTCATCTATTGACTCAGGCCAGGTTGCTCAGGGCCTTATCTAGTTGGGCCTCTACATCCAAAGCCTGAAGACACACAGCTGTCTAATAGTAGCCCCTCAAAGTGCTTCACTCTTTGCTGTTTTCCCTTCATAACTGGTCACTGAATTATTTTGGACTGGAGGCAGGTGAGAAACCCACCAGTTGCTCAGACCTTGTTACTGCCCTTCTCACCCCAGCATCAAACACGTCTGGTTTCCAGGTCCTGGGGCCAGGGGCAGAAGTCAGTGCCCAGCATTGGTACCTGTGGAGTCTTTCTGACCAGGGAAGAGTTTGCAAAGCTGCTTGGGGTTGGTAGCTCGTCCTGTTCAGAGATCTCCTCTGGTTATTCCAGGGAGCGTGCAGCCAAGTGAGAGACACGCTGTCAAGTTACCACTGGTCAGCAGTCCATATTTCTGTCCTCACCTTGTGACAGTGCCCACGTATGGATGAATTTGCTCATTTACCCTAAATCACACTCACAGAGAGCAGTTCCCCCAGCTCAGCTGATGCACAGCAACTTGGCAGGACTGTCTGGTACCAAACACTCCGTGCAGAAGGGGAGAGGGAGAAGGTCCAGGTCTGTCTCTGCACCCACATCACTGTGCAATCATGAGGCCATACTTGGAGCACAGCAGGCCCCTCTTCTTCTCCCGTTCAGTGAGGAAATTCCTCAGTTTGGTGGTGGGGAAGGTCACCAGTGCTTGCTGCCTGTTGTCCAGACCTGTCTCCTGGAGCCACGGGCTCTGAAGGCACTCGGAGGCTGATGGTCTTCCCCTAGGACAGGCCAAGGTGAGAAGGTCAGTCAGGGATCTGTGCTGGGTGAGGAGGCTCCTTGCAAACGGAGAGAAAGAAGGAGCAACAGGCAGGATCTGCCCTGACTGTGCTGTTGGGAGAGCTGGGACCATCTTACCAGGGGTTTGCACACAGGGTGCTCTGGAGGAAGGACACTGCTCCCCCCGAGAGACCCGCGTAGCACCGCGCCAGCTTCACCTTCCCCTTCCTGCTCATCCTCAGGAACTCGCAGGCTACGTCGGAGCTGAGGGGGTAGCTGGCACTCAACCTGCCCCCCAAAACAGAGAACTGATTGGCATGAAGGGCATCATTAAAGGAAACAAAAGTAATGCTGAGGGTGGGGAGGAGCGTTGCCCAGAGAGGTGGTAGAAGCCCCATCCCTGGGACCATTCCAGGCTTGACGGGGCTCTGAGCATCCTGCTCGAGTTGCAGATGTCCCTGCTCACTACTCAGGTTGGACTAGATGACCTTGAAAGGTGTTTTCCAACCCAAACCATTCTATGACTCTATGATTCTGGAAGTTTCCCCTTCTCCCAGGAATTTTCATCTGGCAGCGAGAGGAGGGTTACAGCAAATATCAAATGGGAAAGTAAAACCTCAAACACCACTGTTCTTCAGCAGCTTTCCTGACTTTGGCTGCTTGACACTTGGTGTAATTTGAATTTTCTTGGCAAAGCTGGGGCTTTTCAGACGAGGCTGAGTGAGAAACACCAGCAGCTGCTGTGATGTGAACCATGGAGGCATCTCTGGGACTGGGCATCCTGGCGTGGTGCAGCCAGCTCCATACCACCATCACACAGCCTTCTGTGGCATTGCCAAGGAGAGGGGCACAAGGGGGGTTAACTCTCTGAGTCAGGGCATCTCCCCAGGCTGCTGACTCTTCCAAAGCCACCCGTAGGGCAGGGAAGGAGGGAGGGACTTACATGATGAAGGCTGTGATCCCAACGGACCAGATATCAGTCTGTGGGAGGGCTCCTTGTTCTGTCAGCAGTTCTGGGGCTAGAAAAGCAAACTGGTGTGAGCCACCCTCCCCTCCAATGCCCTCAGACCAACCCAAAAGCAGTGGGTGCTTCTTGCTGCCTTCCCAAGAGTGAAGAAGAAAAATCTTTTAGTACAAGGGAGCTGGCTGAGGTAAGACACCCTCGTGGGTGATGATTACAAAGAAACCTTGAGAACATCAGGCCAAGTGGTGGCAATACTGTACCCCTGAGCTCTGGACATGTGGACACCAGTCAGAGGGGTGTTGACCACGTCCCCTGGCTTTGTCCTCTGTGGTCTGCAAGTGGCTGTCACCAGTAGCTGCTCCTGCAAACTCAACCTGTTCCTGGTGGGCAGCACCTGGGAGGCTTTGCTTGCTGGGGCCCACTGCTGCCTTGACCAATGGCTTTGTCTGCCTTGACCAATGGCTTTGTCTGCCTTGCTGTCTACCCCAGATTGCATACAAGGCCAAGGGGGCTGTGACTGAACCCTGTACTCACCCATGGTTTCCACATAGTCCATGCACTTGTCCATGGTAATAACTTTGTCTGGTGAGTAGAACTGCGCGTTGCCAAAATCCAGGAGTTTGAGCAGGTTGGGCTCAGTGATGATCATGTTTTCAGACCTGAGGTCCAAGTGCAGGATGTCGTGTGCGTGGAGATACTCCGTGGCACTGAGGATCTGCCACAGGTAATCTCGGACCTCCACCTCTGAGTAGGATGTCCTGGTGGAAGGAAAGGGGTAGAAACCAGAGGTGACCTATCTGCATGCCCAAGAGCACTTCTACACCCACTATCATCCTCCCTGGATGTCCAATCCCTTGGGAGTCAAGTAGAAACAACTCTATTCATTAGCAGATCTGTTGTATATGGAGAAGCTGGTCCATGCTGTGAGGGAGGTTTACAGATCCAGGAGGTTCAGGAGGTTGTGGGGCTGCACATCAGTTAAAGCAGGGCTTGTGCAGAAGTCAGAATGAAGATCTGATGCCCACCTTTCCCTCTCCTCTAGTCAGAGGATTTCCTCTGATCCATTTTCTGCCATTGTGAGAAACAACGTGAAGGAGAAATGAGTCTGAGACACAGTTACCTCCATGTTATGGGAGGGGGGTTGACTATCAACTACTGCAAACTGCTCCCAACATTTCCACTGGGTGGCCCCGAGTCGTCCCCTACACCAACCTTGCAAGGAACTGAATTATTTGTGTCACAAGAAGTTGCAGGACAAACGCCTCACAAATCTCACACGCAGTGACAGCACAACAGAGCAGCTGAGAAGAGATGATCCAGTTTGCCAGGGGAGACCAGAAGGTGTTTTGCCTCCCACCCCCCTGGCAAACCCTTCCCTCTGCCCGTCCCTACCGTAACGCCAAGGAGTGGAGCAGCTCTGGTCCCACACACATCTCCTGGATCAGCACCAGGTGCCGTGGGCTGACGTAGGCTCCCTTCAGCTGGGCTATGTTGGTGTGATGAAGCTTCCTCAGCACTTGGTACTCCAGGAGCACGGCCTGCTTGTCCTCTTGCCAGTAAGGGATGATTTTAGCAGCTAAGGTCTTGCCACTTACTTTTTCCCTGCACTGTCGGACGATGCTGAAACGTCCCCTGGTACAAAGGAACACAGAGGCAAGTTAAGCTGCTCTGCTGCTCCTGGGAGAGCCAGGAGCTTCTGCTCTTTCACACCACCAGGATCCCATGCTGTGTTTTTCATCTGTACCCAACGTGGTGTTGTTGCATCTGTGGTCACAGTTTCCACATCCTCCTCTGTCTCCAAATTGTGCAGTCACTTTAAATTGCAGGAGTGAGGTCTCAACTCCTTTGGAGAGAGAGGAGGTGGCTCATTCTGTCTCAAGCAATGTCCCTTGTTGGCAAGAGAAGTTGGTGCCTGTCTTCTAGGCAGAGAAAGCAGAATCCCAACCCTATGTCTGAACCCAAGAGCTGTAAAAGTTGACACAGCAAGAAGAGGAGCCTTTAGTAGCCCTGGGCTCACTTCACAATACACTAAGGGGCTTGTCCTGGTGCCCAGCACAGACCCCTTTTCTCTCCCAGAAAATCCACACTGCAGTCCTTCCAAAGATGAAGGTTGCTCAGCCAATGACCTCAGGTTTATATGTATTGCTGTGGAGTTGTTTTCAACACAACACTGTGACACTGGGTGAGAAGCACGTTTAGAAAGGTGACTTTTCTACCACGTGACATCTCCCTCAGGCTGGCTGAGTGCTGGGATGGATTCGTTACCTTTTGATCTCTGTTTGGAAGGCGTAGGTCTGGTAGGTTGGGAAGGGCTCGGACGGGGTGATTATTT